CCTCAGCCACAGCCTGCCTTAGCCTCAGCCTCAGCCTCAGCCTCAGCCTGCCTCAGCCTCAGCCTAGCCTCAGCCTCAGCCTCAGCCTCAGCCTGCCTCGGCTTGCCTCAGCCTCAGTTCAGCTGCCTCGGCCTTAGCCTCAGCCTCAGCCTGCCTCAGCCTCAGCGTCAGCCTCTCAGCCTCAGCCTGCATCAGCCTCAGCCTCAGCCTGCCTCGGCCTCAGTCTCAGCCTGCCTCAGCCTCAGCCTGCCTCAGCCTCAGCCTCAGCCTGCCTCGGCTTCAGCCTGCGTCAGCCTCAGCCTCAGCCTGCCTCAGCCTCAGCCTGCCTCAGCCTTGGCCTCAGCCTGCCTCGGCGTGCCTCAGCGTCAGCCTCAGCCTGCCTCGGCCTCAGCCTGCCTCGGCCTCAGCCTGCGTCAGCTCGGGCAGTCAAAATATGGCACAGGACTGTTGTTCTGGGAACACGAAGATCACGAAGTGGCCCACAGTTGGCTCTGGGCAAGCAAAATATTGTACAGGAATGGTGTTCTGGGAACACGAAGAACACGAAGTGGCCCACAGTTGGCTCTGGGCATGCAAAATGTGGCCTGGGAATGGCGTTCTGGAAAGACGAAGAGCACGAAGTGGCCTACAGTTGGCTCCGGGCATTCAAAATGTGGCCTGGGAGTGGTGTTCTGGGAAGACGAAGAACACGAAGTGGCCTACAGTTGGCTCCGGGCATTCAAAATGTGGCCTGAGAATGGTGTTCTGGGAGCACGAAGAACACGAAGTGGCCTACAGTTGGCTCCGGGCTCCGGGCATTCAAAATGTAGCCTGGGAATGGTGTTCTGTTGGCTCCGGGCAGTCCAAATGTAGCCTGGGATGCTGTTCTGGGGAGTCCCCGGTTTTCCGCGGCACCCGTCCGGCATCTGCCCAGACCCCCCCTGGGGAGTCATGATGCTCTCGTTTGGGACCACTAGAAACCTATCAGTTTTCGCTGTGAGGTAAAAACAGAAAGAATGAAAGAAAAGAGAAGTAGAAAAAGAGAGAGAGAGAGGGGAGAAAGAAAGAGGGAGGGAGGAGGCAGGAGAGGGGAGGGAGAAGGGAGGGGGGAGAGGAGGGAGAGGGGATAGGGCAGAGAGGCATAAGGATGAAGGAAGAGAGGAGGGAGAGAGAAGGGAGGGGAGGAGGGAGGAGGACGGAGGGAGAGGGAGGAGGAGCAGGAAGGTAGGAGCGTGAACGTTCGAGGAAGTCCCACGACGGGCGGGCGATCCCCTGACGGGCGGGTCGGGCGGGTGGGACATTCAAGCGGGATGCTTGAGTATGGCGAGAGCGCGATGACTAAGTAAATTGTAACGGCGTCCTTGGCGCAGCGTGTTATCCGGCGTGGAAAGCGCGATTTCTGAATAAATTACATGGAAATCATAGGCGAGAGCGCAATTCCTGCATAAAATGTGAAGGGTTCTCTGGCGGGAGCGAGGGTCTTGATTAAATTGCGAGGAAATCTTGATTCAATTGCGAGGAAGTCTCAAGCGGGAGCGCCCTTCCTGAGTAAATTGTGAGGAAGTCTCAGATGGGAGCGGGGGTCCTGACTTAATTGCGAGGAAGTCACAGGCGGCAGCACCGATCCTGAGCAAATTGTCAGGAAGTCTGAGGAGCGGGGGTCCTGAGTAAATTTGGAGGAAGTCTCGGTGGGGAGCCGTTGTTGTTGTAATCCGGGGGGGCACGGGCCCAGTTTGAGCACCAAGACTTTCCTTGTCTAAAATCCAGGTGCGAGCGTCGAGGGGCACACTTTGATTGAGAAAAACACTATGCACCTGTGAGGGGGGACCAACAATAATTATTCTTCAGAAATGAGAGTTCAACAACAACAACAACAACAACAACAACAACAACAACAACAACAACAACAACAACAACAACAAACATTTCAAGACTGTTCGCCCTGATCTGCTCGAGTGTCCAATAACGCGTATTTCCCGAACCCTCGATACTCGCCCTCTTCGTCTTCGATCGAACCCCTCTTGGGGGGTATACCTTTCTTCCCTGCAGGCCGGGCCCCGGCAAGCAGCGGGGCGGCCGCGGACCGTCGGCCTGCCCAGCGGCAGCGCTGATCGGTGGGGCGGCCGCGAACCGTCGACCCGACCCTAAGAGGGACGGACAGGGGACCGACCACGACGACGACGACGACGACGATGACGTCGACGACGACGGCGAACACGACGACGACGGCGACGACGAGCGAAAGCGAGAGCGAGAGAGAACGGCAGCAGGGCCACGAAGGACACGAAGTAGGCCACGAAGGGCGACACGGGGACACGAAGGGAAAGCGTGTGGGGCCACGAAGAGCGCGAGCGAGCGGGGACCACGAAGGGCAGATAATGCGGGGCCACAGAAGGCAACGATGGGGCCACTGAGGGTAGCAACTGGGCCACGTAGGACAGTGAGGGTGCCACAAACGGCGACAGCGGGGCCACGAAGGGCATGCACACGGGGCCACAACGGGCGCGATTCCTGGGTGCCCGGGTGTCGGGAGCGCGGCACTTAGGCAAATTGCAGGAAATTCCAACGCAAGGGCGCTATTCTTCAGTAAATTGCAAGCAAATCTCCAGCGAGAGCGCGACTCCAGAGCGCCGGGAGAGCGATTCCTGAATGAATTGTAGGGAAATCCCAAGCGAAAGCGGGGGCCCTGGCTAAATTGTGAGGAAGTCTCGGTGGGGAGCCGTTGTTGTTGTAATCCGGGGGGGCACGGGCCCAGTTTGAGCACCAAGAATGTCCCTGTCAACAGACAGGGTGCGAGCGTCGAGGGGCACACTTTGATTGAGAAAAACAGTATGCACCGGTTGGGGGGGGATCGACAATAATTATTCTTCAGAAATGAGAGTTCAACCATCATTTTATCCTCATGCGCGATGCTTCCACACGCAGCATGCGACCATCATGATAACCATCCCCACCATGGGGGATTATTATTCTATCGCGGGGGTCCGTTATTCCGATTCCCAGATCTCCCGCCCAATGAGGTCTTGCAAACACCTCCTCTTAGGAATTTCAACACATCCCGCCTCGAAAACACATGCCCGCGCCCTGCTGCGCCGATGCGAGACCGCCAGTGGAGCCCCAGCCAAAGGTAAGACACAAGGAAGTATCGAGCGACAGGATTGGCTTGGTGGGGATGGGGGTTGTCGGCGGCGAGGCAAGGACTTGGCCCTGAATAGAAAAGGAGGAAGTCTCGAGCAGGGGTGCTGTTGTTGCTGGGAGCGGCGCCAATAAAGAAGAGAGTAGGGCGTTAGTCCAGCGTGAAACATCACGAAGTCTCGAGCGGGAGCGCTGGTTCTGTTGGGACGGCGGTTGTCGGTGGCGAGGAGGAACACCGCCTTGAGTAAGAAGGGGTGAAGTCTCCAGCGGGAGCCGCGGTTTTGTCGGGACGAGGGCTCTCGGCGGCGAGGAACAGCACCGTCTTCAGGAAAAATGGAGGAAGCCTCGAGCGGGAGCGCTGGTTCTTGCTGGGGGCGGCGCCAATTCAAAAGAGAGTTGGGCGCCAATCCAGCGCAAAACGGGAGGAAGTCTCGGGCGGGAGCGCTGGTTTTGTTGGGGCGGCGGTTTTCGGCGGCGAGCAAGAGCACCGGCTCTGAGCAAAAAAGAGGAAGTCTCCAGCGGGAGCGTTGTTGTTGTTGGGGGGCCGGTTTGGGCGCCCCCCCAAACCGCTCGAGCGTGAGCCTCATTTTCAATGAAAATGTAGCCAGCGCCGAGGCGAGAGCGACAGGGCGCCTAGGGGGAGTCCAACAATAATCCTGTTTAGTTAATTAACAGTCAAAACAACAACAACAACAACAACAACAACAACAACAACAACAACAACAACAACAAGAACAAGAACAAGAACAAGAACAAGAACAAGAACAACAACAACAACAACAACAACAACAACAACAACAACAACAACAACAACAACAACAACAACAGCAGCAGCAGCAGCAGCAGCAGCAGCAACAATCAAAACAAAAAACAAAACAATTGGTCGGATATCTGGGTCCCTCCCCCCACCCTCCTACCATTCCCCACGCCTCCCCCATACATCCCTCCTCCTTTCTCCTCTTCCTCCTCCTCCTTCTTCAACCGCGACCCCGGAACCCATCCCTTTTTAGGATGGGTGGCCACGGAGTCAGGCGTGTAAGGGCGCAGTCCTCTCCGGATAGTACTGTACACCCCCGCGGCTTGCGGGCAACGGCCCCTGATCCAAGCCAGGGGGAAGGGTGAGAAAAAGGACAGCAGCGCAACAGGGCGGGCGGCCCGGGCGGGGGGCGAAGGGGACAGGGACAGCGGACGGGGGCTGGTCGTCGGTCGTGTCGTCGTGGCGTTGGCGTGGCCGCCGTTTCCTCCTCCACCTCCTCCTCCTCCTCATCCTCATCCTCCTCCTCTTCATCCCCTCTTCTTTGACTTTCCATCGTGCTTCCTCCAGGGGAGAGCCAGGCGCAAGGTGCTCCTGCTCTACGTCGTCGATTCGTCATCGACGGACGCCCGCTTTGCCGTTCGCGATCTGCGTTGCGAGCCATTACCCACACGTCGTCGATTCGCCAGGTATCGATCTTCAGCCGATGTCCAGGCTCGTCGTGGACGTCATCGTCATCAATCATCGTTGGCCAGCTTCTTTTGTGAAGGTGGCACAGTTGACCAGCTCGAATATCCAAAGGTCGCGATCCAGTGATCCACCCAAGGCCGTCAGGCATGTTCATAAGAACAGCCCCGAACCATCGGAGACCGCCAAATCTGAGAACACCGGGATCTTGGGCGGACCGCGAAGTTCGTTGTAGGCTGCCGTCGCGATCCCCCCGATGCGACCACGCGTTTGATCCGTCGAAGCACGTCGTTCGCGTCTGATACCTCGATTCGTTTCCAACTGCCTTGCCCGAGGCATCTCGCGCCAGTCCTGCGACGAAGCACGACGGTAGACGAGTTCGATTTCGAGCGGACATGTGCAGAACGGGCGACGAGCCACGTGCAGTGCCTTCGTCGCGCGGCAGGACGTCAGGCTCATTCAGCTGCTGTCCGAGCAGTTGAACTCTGAGCTGAAGTACGAGCTCGCCCTGCACCAGTTGAGGATCCACCCCCTCTTCTCGGAGCTCTGCGAGATCTCCAGCGTCACCGTGCACCGCCTGGCCAACCACGCCCTCTCCCACAAGCTCCTCTGCGAGGGGGACACCTTGTTCCATGCTGGAGAGGTCGCTACACACATGTACATCGTCGTGAAGGGCCGGTGCGGGGGAAACAACAATTTTGGGCGGATCGCGACCACCACCCCATGCATTACCTCCCCATCCTCTGGCACCCTCGCATGATGCCTCGTCCCCCCTCCCCACCCCCGCCCCAGATGAGGAAATTGGGTTTCAGTTCGTTTTCCAGCATGCCTTTTTGTCCCCTCATCCTCCTTCCTCGCTCTTCCTCCTCTCTCTGTCTCTCCCTCTCTCGCTCTCTCTTTTTCCCCTCCTCCTGTTCCTCCTCCTCCTACCTCCTCCTCCTCCTCCTCCTTCTCCTCTTCCTCCTCCTCCTCCTCCTCCTCCTCCTCCTTCTCCTCCTCCGTCTCCTCCGCACTCGAACAGGATGCTCTGGTGCCGTTTGGTTCAGCGCCAGCGCTCACCTGCGTATTGAATGGAGAGTAAGAGAGCCCTGCGATCTACATCTTATCGCCGCAATGCTTTCCTTCAGCTTCCAACCCCCGCAACTCTAGTTGGCAGCGGAGCTGGGAGCGATCCCAGCTCGCGATCCACGGAACGTGCGCAGAGAGCGATGGACGCAAATTCGCACTTCCCTTCACCTCCGCATTTGTTCCACTCTCCAGCCTTTGAACAGCCTGTCCTTGTAGCTGTTCTGCAAACCTACGGTTAGGTCGGGCTTGTCCCTCTACAGGAGGAATATTCGAAAATACTCCAAAAGTAGTCTGGGGACTATTTTTGGAGCATTTTTAAACCATTTTGGAGCATTGTTGGGGTATTCTCTATTTTTCGTCGAAAATCTCCCTGAAGGGGGACACGCCCGACCTAAACCTACGGGGACTTCGCCCCGGACGCACGCGGGTCCGTCTGCGAGGGCATCGGCAGCGGAAGGCGTCACGGCGACGTGGAGCGAGTCGCCCGCGGGAACGCCACGACGTTGTGGTGCCGTGCCTCGTGGTGTGTGCGACGGTGTTGGCTGTCCTTGCGAGCACGTCGCGCCACTCGAGAGGAGCAAGAGAACCCTTGTAAAGGAATCCTTCATAAGTAACCCTTGGTAGGGAGTCTCTCATAAGGAATCATTGGTAGGGAGCCCCCCCGAGAGAGAATCACCACCTGAGCTTGAGTCCGCGGAGCCTTTTTTTGTTTGCCTTGCGCGTCACACCAGCCGAAATTTTAGAGTCGCGGGGTGGCGGGGCGAAGACGACCTGCAACTGGTAACTGGGAGGGGGTCGAAGGTCACGGAAATTGAGAGGGCGAGGAGAAATAGGAGCAGGGCGAGGGCGAGGATGGATGTTTCGCGAGGGAGTCGCTGGAGTTTTGGGCAAGGGCTTGGCAGCTTGCTTCAGGGGGACACGGGAGCCGTCCACCGCTGGCAGATTCTGGCCAGCCGTCTAGCCGCAGGCT